ATTGTAATGAGCAAATACATGGACAAAGGTGTGCATTCATCTAAAGTTAAAAACAAGGATGTTTCTGAAGTGGAAACGCAGCACAATGAGGAACCTACACTGAATAAAACGGACAATCTTTCTGATGGTGAAACTTCAGAAGGCCTTGAGAATGGCGCTGTTGAGAACACCAACACATTTTCTTCTAGTGAATGCGTTCACGAAAACGCCATCAAAAAGGTAGAACTTCCAAAAGATACGCCTACAGAGACTGAACAAACAGTGATGTATATATGCGACCAACCAAACTCCTCTCCCATGGAAGCAGAGAAGGCTCCCCCATCCCACATGGACACCAAACTCAATCACCGCAAGAGGAACCTTTCAGAACCCAATGAAGACGTGAGAAACTGTAAGCAGTTCTTCAGCTCCAGGAGCATCAGTGCACCAAACACCGTGCTTTCGTCCCCTCAGAGAGAACCTATAGACCTGCATTACAGAGGCAGCCTCACCAACAGAGCCTACAGTTATGACTTTAGCGACACCATTCCTGAAGAGCCTATTGACTTGAGCTGTGGTCCAACCAAAACTCTTCAACAGTTTCCCACAGCGGAGAAGGTTTCAGGAAGCTTGGCGCAAGCGGAGAAAACAAACAACCATTTTAAACCATTTGTGGGTAACGTTATCATCACTGATATCACTACGAACTGCTTAACCGTGACCTTTAAGGAATACGTTCAAGGATAATGACTACAATATGCTGGACTGTAATTTGTTGATTCATGTCAGATGCACTAATCATAGCCATTCCTGATAACATATGGAGACGTTTAAGCAAACAAAACCTATATATATATATATATATATATAGGGTTTGTTTGTTTATATGTCTGCTGTATGTTTTCTAATGCATAAAACTGAGATGGTTGGCATTTTGCTGCTGTGGAAATTAAATTTAAAACCCCATAAGTGTATAGTGTGTAATATAGTTTATAAAGCTTTTGAATTTTAATGCTACCTGAGGAAATACAGCGGCCTATTGGAGAAAGCACACTGGTGGAATGACATTGTATATGAATGTACCTTTAAAGAGTATTTTTTCAGATTGTTTTGTTGATATATTTTACTTGACTGGATTTCCAGATGTTGTTGGCCTGGGAGGTCTTCCTGTGCAATGCTAGATAAACAACTGGATTGTTTGGAGTTCCCTCTCTGTAAGAAGTTTAAGTTGCACTTTATCATCTCCTGGATCTCTTTTGTTAATAAATTCAGTTTAAAAACTCAATAAAGGCTGTTTAACCTTGCAGAATACTTTGTAATAATAATCTGTAACAGCAGTACGACTGTGGTCAGATATCATCAGAACATGCAAACTGTTATATGGCCAGAAAGTACATGTAAGATTGATGCTATAGATTTTGTATGTATTTGAATCAATTTACAGTCAATGCAATGTACTGTAGGTACGCAATGAGATGAACAGTATGTAATGTACAAATTACACAATAATGCCATTAAGGTTAAGGCCATTTATATGCATTATGGCATGTAAACTTTGAATTGTCCCGTTTGAAAATGCTTCTTAAATCAATATTAAACTCTGTTCAAAAATAAACATGAATGATTTGTTTTATAATGTGTCATTCATATTTTTTATTTCCGTTTGTCTGATTAACTGCATCCAGAGAAAATATATTTGTCCAATTTAAATGTTTGCTTACAAATTAGAGGCTCTTATGAATTAGAGCAATTTAGCAATGCTGCCTCCTAGGTGCAGTACCATGTTCATAAAGCACCATATCTGACTTATATTGACCAGAAAACAACCCCACATCATCCTGCTGCCCTGATTAGGCTCCTATGTATAAAAAATTAATGGAAAGTTAGTTTTTTTTACTATACATAGAGTAGTTGTGTTAATGCTAAGTGATCTAAAATACATGTAGGTCATCTTTCTGGACGAGTCAGCTAAATCCATACAGCATCTGTCAAGAAGATCTTAAAACACATTTTCTTATTATTTAAATATGATATTAGCAGGAAAAGTACTAACCATGGATCCATATATTATAATGAGATGTCCCAGTGTGAGATGTAGATGTTGGTATTATAATTTTGCCCCAAAATTCTGTATTATATAATATTTAAGATATAATAATGCGTTTAGATAAACGAGAGAGGAGGTTCATAAACGTTCTGCTTTACTATATTATATTATATTATATTATATTATATTATATTATATTT